CATGAAACACCCAGCACAGCGCCTGGCACACAAGAGAGGCTCAGTGAATGTTCATTCTCTTGCCCTTCCCGCTCTGAGTAAACCTGACCCCGTGGCATCTGCATGGAAAGGGACATAGCTACTGGGACCTCGTTCTGATGGATCCGGTTAAACACAACATTAAAAAAAAAAAAGTTTTAAGGTTTGTTTATTTTTAAAATGTTTTTATTTTATTTTTGAGAGAGACAGAGTGCGAGCGGAGGAGGGGCAGAGAGAGCGGGAGACACGGAATCTGAAGCAGGCTCCAGGCTCTGAGCTGTCAGCACAGAACCCCACCCCGGGCTCAAACTCACAGATGGAGAGGTCAGGACGTGAGCTGAAGTCGGACGCTTAGCGGATTGAGCCACCCAGGTGTCCCTGAACACAACAATTAAAAAAATTTTTTTTAATGTTTTATTTATTTCTAGGAGAGAGAGAGACAGCGTGAGCAGGGGAGGGTCAGAGAGAGAGGGAGATACAGACTCTGAAACAGGCTCCAGGCTCTGAGCTGGCAGTCAGCACAGAGCCCGATGCGGGGCTCGAACCCACGAACCGCGAGATCATGACCTAAGCGAAAGTCGGATGCTTAACCGACTAAGCCATCCAGGCGCCCCAGAACACAATAATTTTAAATACACTCCACTCCTTATTCACAGCCGTGTCCTGTAAAGTTGCCACAAAGATTGAAGGAGAATACTGACTGAATCACTGCCTCTTGAGGAAATACAGCGTTAGGTTCCTGTGAGCCTCCAGCCACGTTTTCATCAACCAATCAATACGTAACCTTGTTTTATGTATGTTTCTGTCTAAAGACACCGTATCTAATATATACTGTTGATTCAGTAATATTGAACTCACGGCCAACAGCGCCTTAACTCAAGACGGAAGGAAGCTCATCTACCACACCCACGTGTTTTCTCCCTAAGGCTCAACACTGCCCTCCTGGGCCTAGGAACTGGCCAGCGCCTCCCTGCCACCCTCAGGGCCCAGTTTAAATTGCAAAGTCACCAACAAAACACATAAAAATGAGGAAAACATGGCACTGAAGACACCATGACAAAGACACTTGTTTACAGTAGGAGGGCTGAGACAAGAAGGCAAAGAGCAAGGACAACTGGGTGGCTCAGTTGGTTAAGCGTCTGGCTTCAGCTCAGGTCATGATCTCACTGTTCGTGGGTTCGAGTCCCACATCAGGCTCTGTGCTGACTGCCAGCTCAGAGCCTGGAGTCTGTCTTTGGATTCTGCGTCTCCCTCTCTCTCTGACCCTCCCCTGCTTGCACTCTCTCTCTCTGTCTCTCAAAAATAAATTTTAAAAAACATTAAGAAAAGAGAAGGCAGAGCGCATCACCTGGTCACTTTGTTGGAGCTCTGGCTGGGAACAGGCGTGTCAGGCAACTCTATAAAGGCTCGCGACTCCGCGCATGCGTAGATCCTTAAATTACTGCAGTAGTCCCTTGAGTATTGATTTGGGGTTACGAATAAATTTACAACCAGGTGAATTTGCAAATAAGGAATTCATGAATAATGAATTTGACCGTGCATTTGTTTTTTCTGATTACAAAATTAAATAGTAAACAGAGCTATGCATACTGTGTAAAAGTTTTAGGTCCCCTCCGTGATCCTAGCCCATAAACATTGTTGGAACAGCTGCAGAGTTTTGCAGGTTTCTGCTAGGCAGATAATGCCTATGTGCATGTGTGTGACTATGTGTCTGTGTCTGAGTGGCTGTGTGTGCGTGATTTCCACTCACCAAGATCTCTTGGATAGTTAAAAAATTTTTTTTCCTGAAGTTATTTTTTAGAGTATGAATGGAAGCAGTGGGCGTGCACTGCGGTCAGGACCTCCTAGTCTCAGTTCAGACCCTCGACCACATCCAATTGGGGAAACAACTGTCCAGAGAGAGCGATGGCTTGCCAAACTTAACGATAAACAGCAGGTTGAGTGAATGTGGTGTTCTGCATCTTAGCCAAGATGGTGTAAGGTCAGCAGAAGAACCACCAGAAGGGTAAAAAGACAGAGCAGGAAGGGGTTGCGAAAGGTCAAGAGATTGACTTACAGCCAAAGAAAAGTATATTCCATACACTCGGGAAGGGGTCGGAGCTACAGAGCAAGAGGAACTTAGCTACTCAAGGAGATTCAGACAATAGCTAACAGTATCAGAGCTTCTGAAAACACCTACGGGATAGCAGGGGCTAGGCCAAGCTGCTACAAGAAATGGACCCAAAATACAACGGCTTATCCAAAGTGGACATTTATTCGTCTTTCTCTAATCCACGTTGGTGAGTGGGTTCTACTCCGTGTCGTCATTCAGAACCCAGCCTCCTTCCTTATCTTTGCTCTGTCAGCCCCTTCGAAACATTATGGAAGCTGGGTCCCTGGCACATCTGTGTTCCAGTGCCTTAAGCACTGTTTCTATTTACGTACTATTAGAAAGGACTTTGTTACAAAGCCACACTCCGCAGCGATAGCAGCTAGAAAGTGCGGTCTCCAGCAGACGGCTATTTGGCCAACTACTATATTGCTGTAGAAGAGGGGGTGGATTACATGTGAAATAAATGAAGCCCATCCACCTGTCATCAAGCCTTTTTTCGTTTTGCTTCAAATGCTTCAATAATTTAGACCCTCCCCTCCTTACAAAAAAATATTGGGGATGAAATCAGTATGTTATTTGGGATTCTTTTGTTTGCCAAGTGACAGCACACCACTATTAAACTTGCTTAAGCAATAAGGTGGGCCACCTCATATATCCAAAATCTAGGCTCTACGTCAGAGCACCAGCCCTTCTTCCCTAGGACTCTCCCCGCCTCAATCATGTGTCGGCTGCATCCTCAGAGTGGGAGCAAGTAAGCTGCTATAACTCCAAGAATCACCACCAAACACATCCACAATCAGCAGGGGGGGCAGAGTTTTTTGTTTTTTGAAAGGGAAGAGACCCTTAGCAGAAGTCACCTCCCCACCATAGGCTTGCCCTCTGGTTTTTCAGGCCAGACGTACATGTCCGAGCCCAAAGTATCCACTGGCAAGAGGAACGCAACCACCACAATGGAATTGGACCAAAAGGGACCTAACTCCTAGACTGGGCTAGGGTCATCCTTCCCTTGGTCACTTGGGGAAGAGACGCACGTGAACAAAATCAGAGTATGACAGCAAGGAAAAGTTGTTGAATAAGTTACCAAGTTCTTTCTGGCAATGATGGAGACACGGGACCAGGCAGGTGGTGGTGTGATGGAGGGTACGTAAACAGCAGAGAAGTAAACTTCAAATTGTTTCTTAAGTTGTGCCTCCACAAAGTTTAACTCCAGTAAAGACATTTCTGGAGAAGGCAGAAACTGGGGTGCCATGCTCAATGCCTCTTTCTCTCTCACCCCCATATCCAATCCATTAATAAATTCCACACAGTGTCTATACTTTCAATACCCTCGCCTTCTCTCCTTCCCCAGTGTCATGGCCCCAGTTCAGGTCTCCTGCGGGCATTATAACAACAGTGACCTAACGGGCCAGTCTCTTCCTGCAATTGACAACTTTGCTGCGTTATTCAGCTACACACCTTTACCGTGTACCAAGTGCTGCGCATGTGCAGACAGATCAAAAAGAGTCCCTGCCTTCACGTTGCTGCTGGCATCTCCCTGACTCCCTGACACCTACATTAGACCAAGTCATGCCCCTGCTTGAAAGCTCAATGCCCTCAGGAAACCCTTTACCATGACTCTCAACGCCCTGCACTTACTGCCTTCCCCTCCCCAACCTCAACAGTGCAGAACTACCTGCACTTGCCTCAAAGTGCCTCTCTTTTCACGCCTCTGTGCTTTTGCACAGGCTGTCTCCTCTATCTAGAAATCCCTTATCCCCTCTCCATCTGGCATGCAAGATAAGGTCTCCTATTACTCTCTCCTTCTCTCCAGATCCACCTTCTCCCCCACTCGCCACACACACACACACACACACACACACACACACACACAGAAATATAGCACTCCGGAAATGTTTGCTGAAAGGACGCAGCTCCTTGGGCCAGACAGTGGCCCGCTCCCCCAAGCACTCTTTAAGAAAGTGAAGAGGACATCTTGAACTTGCCCTAAGCAAGCAGGGCATTTCTCTCGAGTTTATCTTTACGTTTTATGCAAAAGTTGTGTTCTATACAGAATACATGACATATCCTTGTTTGTTTTAATAAAACGTATTATTTTTCCCAAAGCTTCAAGTCGACGATCTAGAAAGATGCTTCTTGTTTACTCGTTATCCCCTTAAATTAGCTGTCCTCACCCGCCGCAGGGACCCTGAGTGAGACGTGCCTCTCCCTGCGTGCGCAGATCCTGAAGGAACAGCTGGGTTTCGGTCCCCGGGGAGTAGGGGAACAGTGGGGGCGGGGAGGGGGTCCGCTGGCTGGAGGCCTGGCCCCGCCTCTCCTCTCCCCCGCCCGCTGCAGGGGCGGAGTCGCCCGGGCCCGGCCCGCGGGGGCGGGGAGGGAGTCACTGCCGCCGGCAGCTGGAGCTCGGCTGGTTCCGGGTTGAGAGGCTGCACTCGGACCGGAGCAGTGGCTGCTGAGCCGGCAGGGTAAGGGGCAACGCCGCGCGGGGTCTTAGGGCCGGGATCGGGCAGCCGAGCGTGCTCGCACCCCTCCTCTCCTCTGCCACGCACAGCCGCGGCGCAGCCCCGCCTGGCTTCCCCCTTCTCCGGAATTCTCCATCCCCCGCTTCTCCCCCTCCCCCCACTGCACCCATCCCGGGATTTCAGCCCCTCTAAGGCCTCCGCCCCCCTCCTGGATCCTCTTCTCCCAGCGCCCATCCCTTCAGACTGCCCTTTCCTCTAGAACCTGCTTGTCAGGAGCCCCTTCCCTCAGACACCTACGACCTCCTCCCTCCAGCACCCATCGCTCCGAGTCACCCACTACCTCGAGACCACCTTCCTGGGCTCGCATCTCGGCTAATCTCTACCCTGCACCTCTTCTTCGCGTGCCTCCCTCCCTCCCGGACAGCCCCCCCCCTTCCTTCTCCTGTAGCTGTTACTCCTGCCTCTCCCCACCTGCTCCCCGCACCCATCCCTCGGTGCTGTCCCCGACAGCGCCAGGCTCGCTCAGCAGCCCCCCTGCATCTCAGGGCCCCCTCTTCGCCGCCCCCAGCGCCATGGCGTGCAGCCTCAAGGACGAGCTGCTCTGCTCCATCTGCCTGAGCATCTACCAGGACCCGGTGAGCCTGGGCTGCGAGCACTACTTCTGCCGCCGCTGCATCACCGAGCACTGGGTGAGGCAGGAGGCGCAGGGCGCCCGCGACTGCCCCGAGTGCCGGCGCACGTTCGCCGAGCCCGCGCTCGCGCCCAGCCTCAAGCTGGCCAACATCGTGGAGCGCTACAGCGCCTTCCCGCTGGACGCCATCCTCAACGCGCGCCGCGCCGCGCGACCCTGCCAGGCGCACGACAAGGTCAAGCTCTTCTGTCTCACGGACCGCGCGCTGCTCTGCTTCTTCTGCGACGAGCCCGCGCTGCACGAGCAGCACCAGGTCACCGGCATCGACGACGCCTTCGAGGAGTTGCAGGTGAGCAGCCGCGCCGGCCGGGGGGCGAGGGGCGGGGCCGGGGCGGGGCCGGGGGCGGGGTCAGGGCTGGACCGCGGGCTGGGCCAAGTCAGAATCGTCACGGGGCGGGGCCGCAGGCGGGTCAGCGCCCTATCAGAATTAGGACGGGACGGGAACGGGGCGGGGCCGCGGCGAGGGGGCGGGCTTTTGGAGGCGGGCCTAGGGCCCTCTGCACCCGGCGGGGCCTGAGACGGACCCTAAGTGGGGGTGGGTCTGTGGTTGGGTAGAAGTCACCCATGGGGTGGCACGGCTGGGACAGATGAGATCAGAGCTGGCCCAGGTACGGGCTCAGAGCAAGGCTGGGGACAGGGAAGAATCAGAGCAGGGCAAGAGCAGGGCCACTGTCAGGGGCCATGGGCCCTGGACCTAGAAGCAGGGACCACACAGGAATGCTTCCGGACAGAGTTGGGACAAAGACGCAGATGGGAATGGGCCATACAGGGGGCGGGCCGCCATCCGGGAATGGGTCAGGACTATTTGGAGTAGCTGAGGGGCAGGCTTGGGGCACAATGGGGCAAGACTCCATCAGGTGTGCAGCAGGACCTGGAGGGCAGTGCCAGGACTAAATTGTGTTGGGCAGGTCAGGGTAGGGAGCGCCTGAGTTGTGGTCATCCAAACTGCTCAGAGGGTGAGTTTGGGTGCCAAGGGCTAGGCCAAGGTGTGTGAGGGGTTAAAGATGGGATCAAGTCCAAATACTGTAAGAACTATTTTGGGTTTAAACCAGAGGCCCGGTTGACAGTGGGAACAGGACTTAAGACTCAAGATTTGGAGAATAAGGCCCTGGGGTGAGATGATTCAAGAAAAGGGAGGGGAATGGACCTCTAGAAGTCTCCAAGAGCTGTCGATGACCTCCTTGGCCCTGTCACCCACATCAAGACCTTTGAAGACCAAATGAAAGAGTATATGCAGGGTAACCTGAGTGCAGTCAGCCTAAGACTATAACCGATCTCCCTTAAACCTTCCCATCTTCACAGAACAACTCCTATTCAACTCTCAAAGCCCTGCTCAAATGTCCTCTCTGTGTAAGCCTTCCCAAGCTCCTCCAGCCAAAGAAGAAAAAAAAATTGCATTAGAGCTACATTTCCCCAAATATCCTCTGTTAATAAGAATGATGTTTTAGGGGGCACCTGGGTGGCTTAGTCGGTTGAGCGTCCAACTTTTGCTTAGGTCATGATCTCGCGGTTTGTGGGTTCGAGCCCCGCGTCGGGCTCTGTGCTGACTGCCAGCTCAGAGCCTGGAGCCTGTTTCAGTCTGTGACTCCCTCTCTCTCTGACCCTCCCCTGCTCATGCTGTCTCTCTCTCTCTAAAAAAAAAAAAAAAAAAGAATCATGTTTTAAAAAGTAGTATTCCAAGATCAGCTATATTGGGAAAATATAGTATATTCTCTATACCTCTCTTGGAGGAGTCTTCATGTACATTTTGCATATTAAAGATTTTGGAGAAATCTTGTAGCAAAGATACCCATTTTACTGTACTTAATAAAAATGGCACCCAAGCTTATTTCAGCCTGGAAGCCTAGAATCTTCTCAACCTAAACTATTTCAGTCCTGCAGTCCCGTGTCTTTGGCCTTGACCAGTCTAGCACACAGTTCCCAAAGAACAGAGAAACTCTCTTATTCATCATATCTATGGCCCCAAAGCCTGGCACATCAGTACATATCAGTAAAGTTTGAATAATAAATGACCAATTCTGGCCTGAGCTGGCCCAGACTGTGGAACCGTTAGAAACAGAAGAGTTTTCACTCAAACATTTTTTGAATATGCAGTGGGCTAACTTGAGAGAGTGAGCTCCTTGACCCTTGAGATGCTTAAGCAGGAACTAAGTAACTTGTTTCCCCTGTGTTATAGGAAGAGCCCCGCCCCCTCCCCCACTTGTACATGAATCTCTGTAAGTCAGCCTGCACTTAGTAGATACCCATGGATGACCCTTGGCCCAGGAGAAATGGTCCCATGTTTACCATCCCCTCCTCCACCCCGTCCCTCATCCCCAAACCATTACTGACTCCCTCCCAGTCTGGCTCTTTGAGGATGGAGAGCAAGAGTTGGGGGCTCTGAGAGCTTACACAGGCTGGCATCAGCCCTCCACCTCCAGAACCTTTGTGCCAGGCCCTGGTAGCCCCGCCACTCCATCTGTGAGGTCCCATGAAACAGGGAAGAGAGAACCTTTGAGATGCCTGAGTACAGGTTGTGAGGGTTTGAAGGGGCTCTGTCTGAAACTACCTGTCCAACCTCTTCCTCATAATAGATGCGGAGACTGAGGTCCAGAGAGGTAATGTGACTCCCCTAAAGCCACACTACCAGACAATGAGAGCCAGGCTAGAAAGCTCAGCCTGCTGCAGACCAGATCCCTCGCCCACCACTTAGCCTCTCCTCTCCCTGTGTGACTTTCTAGCTGGAGAGACCTCTGCCTTCTGAGCCTGGGTTCCTCTGTCTGCAAACCAGGAAGTCAGAACGACTGTGTTTTGCTTTATGGAGTCCATTCCGTGTCCTGGGGAATGCAGGAGAAATTAAATATATCTTTTCTCCCAATGTTAGTGAAACACTTTTACTCCTGGGTGAAAAGAACAGCACGGCTGCTCACCTGCTTTCTAGTATGTACTATCCTACAGTCAGATAGCCTTGGGTTCCAAACCTTCCTTCAGCACTGCCTATGTGTGACTTGACAAGTCCCTTCACGTAAGCCTTGATGTTCTGGCCTGTAAACTGGGGTCACAGTGATTCTTTCCTACCAGGATTTTGGGAGGCTGACCTGTGGTGGGCCTGCTGTTTGAGATGCTTGGCACAGGGCAGGGGCTGGGTCAACATCCCTTCTTCTTCTGGCTGAGACAACTCATGTGCCCCCCTGGGCAAATGTCCAGACCTGCCTCTCTTGCCTGAGAAGGAGGCCTTGCTTCGGTGTCTCCTTTGGGCTTTGTAAGAAGATGGCAGAGAAACACGCTTCCCCACTGGAGAGGTGAGCTCCTGGGGGAGGTTCAAGCCACTCCCCACCCCACCTGCCTCTCCTCGTGGCGGAGCGGGGCTCAAAAGCTATTTGTGCACTGGGAATGAGGCTGAGCCTGCCCAGCACACCCCCTCCTCTCCCAGCGCCTGGTGGTTTTGTCACAGGGTGCCCAGAACCAGGGCTTGGGCCCCTCTTCTGGGGACTCACCGACTCAGAGCTGGCAGGGCCTCGGAGATCTTTTGGTGCAGTCCTCACTTGACAGATGGAGAAATGGCGGAGGAGGAGGGAGGGGACTTTACCCAAGGCCTGAGGCCAGAGGAGGCTGTGCCCAGGCTCAGCTGGAGTCTCCTCACATCGCACCTAGTGGTTGGCCTGGAGCTTTTACATTTATTGTAAGTCCTGGAGGTAGCGGAGCAGAAAGGTTAAGAACTCTGGCTTTGTACTTGGGCACCTTCAATCCTGGTGCTAACATTTTCTGGCAGTGTAACCTCAGAAAAGTCACTCAGCATCCCTCACTGACAGCAATGGGGATGGATTAGATAAGATGACATTTGCAAGAACTTAGTACTGCATTCAACACATAGTAAGCACTCAATAAATGACAGTGCTAGCATGTTATTATATCATCCTCTGCACTATTGACATTTGGGGCCAGATAAGTCTGCATGCAAGGCAATCTTGTGCATTTTAGGATGTTTAGGAGTATCCCTGACCTCTAACCACTAGATGCCCGTAGGACTCCTCCTCACACTCCCATTCCTTACCCCTCCCCCCACCAAGATGTGACAACAAAAATGTCTTCATCAAATACCCCTGGGGTCAAAATCATTCCTGGTTGAGAACCCTGACCTAGAGAAGCCCTAATCAGCTTTCCAAGCTTAGCTCAACTATCACCTCCTCCATGAAGCTTTCCCCGACCTACCAAGCAGAATTGCTTTGAACTTGATTCCAATACTGGGGTCAGATCCTGGCATCATCATTGATGAGCTATGTGTCCTTGGTCAGGTCACTTCACTTCCCTAAGCCTCTGCCTGCTCATCTATAACATGGGAGATAATATGGTCTTCCTGGGAAGGATGTTTTAAGGGTGACGGGTCAGCGGTGCCTGATACTGTGCCTGGCACAGAGCAGTGTATGACAATTTAGATATCTTTATTGTTTCTAATCATAAAATTAATGTAAGAAACAGAGCTATATAATGTAAAAGTTAAAGTCTCCCCATAACCTCACCCCATAGAAAAACAGATAGAATTGCTTGGTAATTCTTCAGAATTTTTATTGTGTGACTAACATGTGAATGTGTGTATACATGTGTGTGTGTACATGCCTTCTCCCCCCTTTTTTTTTCTTTTCACTGCTGAGCACTGGACTGCAGAGCAAAAGGGAGGGAGGGAGCCCCATCTCCAAAGGGTTCAAGGCTTCTCAGCCAATATTTATTGGGCTCTAGCCCACTGCCTGGGACTATACTAAGCGCTTTTCTAGTATTACCGCATTTAACCTTCAAAACACCTCGTCAAGGGGCGCCTGGGTGGCTTAGTTGGTTAAGCGTCCGACTTTCGCTTAGGTCATGATCTCGCGGTTCGTGGGTTCAAGCCCCGCGTCGGGCTCTGTGCTGACTGCCAGCTCAGAGCCTGGAGCCTGTTTCAGTCTGAAACTCCCTCTCTCTCTGACCCTCCCCTGCTCATTCTGTCTCTCTCTCTCTCCTAGAAATAAAAAAAAATTTTTTTTAAATTAAAAAAAAAAAAAAACACCTCGTCAAGTGGGTACTGTAATTTGCTCCTTTCACAGATAAAGAAACAGGCTCAGAAGAATTCCATGTCCCGTTCAGTCACCCAGCTGGGAAGTGACAGGGGCCGGATTAGAAGCTAGTCTGACTGGGCCACTCATAGCCTCCAAGCAGCCTCTGAGGGCCACATAGTTGTCTCCCCTCCGACACTGCCTGTCTTTGTATTTCAAGTAGTCAGCACAGGGTCAGGCTGAGGACACCGTGCCAGCTGATGCACCGAGGGCAGGTGGCTGG